CAACATAGTGAAACTCTATCTCAAAAAAAAAGACAAACTGATTTGACAGTGAAAATACAAACAACCTAAAATAGCCAAACCAGGCCAGGCAAGGTGGCTCATGCCTATAATCCTAGCACTCTGTTAGGCCAAGGCAGGTGGACCACCTAAGCTCAGGAGTTCGAGACCAGCATGAGCTAGAGCAAGACCCCATCTCTATTAAAAATAGAAAAAACTGAAGCAAGAGGATCACTTAAGCCCGGGCATTCAAAGCTGCAGTGAGCTACAGGCATGCCACTGCACTCTAATCCGATCTAACGAGTGAGACTCCATCTCTAAAAATAAAACAAAGAGGCCAGGAGCAGTGGCTCAGGGTATAATCCTAGCACTCTGGGAGGCCGAGGCAGGTGGATTACCTGAGCTTAGTTCGAGACCAGCCTGAGCAAAAGTGAGATCCTGTCTCTAAAAATACCTGAACCTTATGGTGGGCAACTATAGTCCCAGCTACTTGGGACACTGAGGCAAGAGGATCGCTTGAGCCCAAGAATTGGAGGTTGCTGTGAGCTGTGACAGCACAACACTCTACTGAGGGTGACAAAGTAAGACTGTCTCCAAAAAAACAAAAAATAAAATAGCCAAAGCTATTTTGAAAAATAATAGGTTGAAGGATTTATACTATCTGGTTTCAAGACATGTTATAAAGCTGTAGAAATTGAGACAGTGTGGTACTCACATAGAATCTTCAAATAGATTAGTGGAAGAGCCCAGAAATAGACCCACACTTAAATGGTCATTTATTTGCTCTTTGGCGGAGGAGTCAAAGGGATCAGTAGGGAAAGATTTTTCAACAATGAGGCTGGAACTGAATATCCATATTGAAAAATATGACCCTTAACTTCTTTTCACATCATTCACAAACATTACTCCAAGATGGATTATAAAACTAAATTTAAAAGGCAAAACTATAAAACTCTCACCAAGAAAAAAAAAATGGAGACTACCTTCTCCAATGCAGTAGGTAGTAGTTTCTTAGACAGGATCCAGAAGGCAGTAACCATAAAAGATAAAATTGAAAAATTAGATGTCATTAAAATTTGAAACTTCTGCTCATCAAAAGACATCATTAAGAAAATTAATGGACATGCCAAAAACTGGGAGGAAATATTTTAAAAATATGTATCTGACAAAAAACTGGCAACTAGGATAAAATAAAGAACTATAACTCAAGAAAAAAAAAA